GACTCTAGTCATATTATCCACTCTTAAAGTGGATAAGATTTACAAGGAGGTAAACTATTAATTTTTATTATTTTTTTCTTAACGTTGTTAATATTTTTATTTACAGGTCTCCCTTAGAAAAAAGGAGCGTATCGTCGGGATTGGCTCCGTTAACGATATCCCCACAGCGACATCGTCTTATGCGCAGGAACAGCACGATGTCAATGCTCAGTTGCGCTCGGAGTTGCAGGCGACACAGTCTCATGTGAGTTCGCTCACCGAGCATGTGAGTTCTCTCACCGATGTCCTCGACATTTTGGCGGTTGGAAACCCGTAATTGGCGGAGATGCTGCGTCAGAGACGGGAAAGCGGACGGCTTCCAACCCAACAGGTTCCACCATCACAGTCACAGCCGGCAATCAACTTTGGAGAGGAGGATTTGGCGAGCCAGGACTATTTCGTTCGACAATTTAACGAGCGCCATCTGTAGTTTTTTTTTATTTTTACTTGTATATTTTGAATTTTAAAACTTAATTGTATATTATTTAGTTATTTATAAAATATTTTGTTATTTATTTTTTACTTATAATTTGGTTTTTTTAATTTTCTAAAAATATATTATTTATATTTATAATTAATATTTTTTAATAGGGAAAAATAATAATTTGAAGCAAAATCCTCGTAAAGGATTCGAAGTAATGTCCTCGTAAATTATTCTAGTAAGTTCCTCGTAATGTATTACTACGAGCTTACGAGGAAATAATTTACTATGATATTATGAGGAAACACTACGAGGACCTTACGAGGAAAAGTTATCCACGCGTTAACGAAGAAAAGTTTCCTCGTAAATTAGCTAGGACCTTACGAGGAAAAAGGCTTTACGATGAACGTGTTTCGACGAAACGCTTTTCCTCGTAAGTTCCTAGTAAGTGGCCATTTACTAGGAAATAACGAGGAAAACTAGTCCTAGTAAAGAACGAATTTTCTTGTAGTTATTGTTGTTTTCTTGAGTTTGTCATTTAAATTGTTTGAGATAAGCTTCCACTGCAATATGAACAAATCGAGAACAAAGGACAACATGAACAAAAGATGAGCTTGCATTCCTTAACAGGTTTTAACCAACAACAAAAGCCACCAAGTACATTCATTTAGAGTTTAAAAAACAACAAAAACCACCAATGGATAGCCATTTTCGAGTTTTAAGCAACAACAAGAGAAAAACTACTCAAACTCAAATCCAGATTTCATGTTTTTCTCGTACTCATACTTAGTTTCATAAACTTCTTCTACATTTTTCTTCTCTTTTTTAACCATTGGGTCACCACTATCAATTTCACCTCTCTCCTCTATTCTTTGTCTCTCTCTCTCTCTCTCTCTCTCTCTCTCTCTCTCTCTCTCTTCCTAGTCGTCGCTCTCTCTCTCTGTTCCTAGTCGTCTCTCTCTCTATCTCTCTTCCTCATCATTTTCTCTCTTTCTCTCTCACACTCTGTTCTTCGTTATCTGTGTCCTTCATAAGCCAAAAATTTGGTCTGTAGTACTGGAGAAATATTCTAACGTAAACAACTTGATCAACAAGTAGAATATTATCTAGGAATATTAATATTCTTTCAGCAGTCTCTTTTCGTATCTCTCTCTCTCTCTCTCTCTCTCTCTTCCTCCTTGTCTCTCTCTGTGTTTCCAGTTTTTCTCTGTGTAAATGAGTGAAAAAGATAAACTATAGTCTAAACTTAATCAAAATCTTAAATTAATTTTCTTTTAAAAACTTCGGGTTGTTTTTTTAAGGCCAGGATGGATTATTTTCCAATGGGCAATCGTTAATTACATAACGTAATTAATTTACCTTGAGACACGATTTCAAAATTGGATTAGAGAGAGGGGAATAAAAACTTTGAAGCATGTTTATTGGTGTCTCTTAGCATAGGATCTTAGGTTAATTAGGTTTAAAAATAAATGAAAAATAGCTATTAACCGAGGAGGCGTGTCATAAATAAGGTCATGAAAGAACGTCTCTTACGAGCCACGTGGCACAAACAATATTTATAGGGAGTTTTAGGCAGCCAACCCTTTAATCAATCATCATTAATAACTTTAACCTATCGATCTTCGTTACAAAATTTAGAAAATCTCCACATATCCAATCTATGCTGCATGCTGTTGATTTCTTCATTATTCCACTACAATCTATTCGAAAATTCCAAAATCAGACTACATCAGTGGCCGATTGATGATAATCGGATAATAAATCGAAAGATGTAAAAACTTATTGTTTTCACGATTTTTATGTTAAATATCGCATATGTGTCTTAAATTTGATGTATTCTCATTAAAGCTTACAAGAACAATGAGAAAATTTGTAAACACGAGGAAACAAATTTAGAAGCGGCTGGAGGTTGCAGAAAAGATCACAGTGGGAGGTTAAAGTAAGGTTAATTTCGTCATTTCCAAAATCGTTAACCTAATTTTTGTTAAAAAAAATATTGACAAAAGGGTCAATTTTGTAGATCGAACCCGGGTATGTACGTATTATACATATGCCTGTTATTCCACTACAATCTATTCGGAAATACCAAAATCAGATTACATCAGTGGCTGATTGATGATAATCGGATAATAAATCGAAAGGAAACTCATTGCTTTCACGATTTTTATGTTAAATATCGCATATATGTCTTAGATTTGATGTATTTTTATTAAACCTTACAAGAACAATGAGAAAATTTGTGAACACGAGAAAAATAAAATAAAAGCGGCTGGAGGTTGCAGAAAAGATCACAGTGGGAGGTTGAAGTAATGTTAATTTCGTCATTTCCAAAATCGTTTAACCTAATTTTTGCAACAAAAAAAAAATTGACAAAAGGGTCAATTTTGAAGCTCAAATCCGGGTCTGTACGTATTAAACGCCAACCTCTAGACTAAGTCACAACAACAACAAACAAGCACATAGGTAATATATATAGCATTCCAGATTTATTAATTCAGTTCTAGGCCTCCTCCGACCGTCTAGCGATTTTCATAGATTATATATTCTTGTATATATTATGAAATAATAAATATATATCAAATAATAAAAAATTCAGTAATTATTATGTATATTATTATATTAATGCAAACACATAAATAAATTTTATTAACGAAAAAAAAACTCTTTTTCTATTTTATATGGTCTATAATTAAATTTAAATGATATTAGCATATATATATAGTATAATTTTAATATAGATATTTATTAAATAATGTTTTATTCTCATATTACTTTTTGATCATTTATATCTTTTTCTAAAAAATATTAATTGTGTGATGTTTAATAGTTTTAGTAATGTATAATTTAAAAACACATTCAATGAAAAGTTTAAAATTTAAATACTAAGTTGTCAATATTTTCTCAAAGCTTTTATAAAAAAATTGTTCAAAGAAAATTTCAAAATTAAATATTTATGTATTTATATATGAAATGTAGTTTACTTAAATGGATATTAATATGTACATATATATATACATATATAATTTTAATATTTATTAAATGAGACGTCATACTTATATGATTTTGTAATCATTTGTATCTTATCGTTGCAAAAAAATTAAACATGGTTAACGAAAAATTTAATGTGATACCTCTAATAGTTTTAGTAATTTATAGTCGTTTTTAATAATTCAAAATATAACATAAACGAAAAAATCTAAAAATTTAGTATATTGTTAATGTGGTTGTTTAATTTATTTTGATAAGTTAAAATTGGAAAAATAATGATAGAGGATACACTAATTTTTTTTTCAAATTCAAAATCATTAATTTCATATATACTTTAACAACATTAGTCAATTTCGTAATTTTTTATAAGGAAAGAATGAAAAAATAATAATTAATTTATGATTAATAAAAAAGCTTTTATATATTTAGATGGACGAGTATATTTCTTTAAAGATTCTAAAAATCATCATGGTGATGACACATGGCTACCTCAAATGTTATAATGATTCTCTTTTAATATATAGAGGATTCTTTTCATTGTATCTTCTGCATGACTCTCCATTACTTTGAATTTCTTTTTGGTTATAATTTCGTATAGGTACAATTTAATTGCATTAGGAATATCCAAGTATATGTGTGTGTGACTAAAGGCCTTATGATATGTTATATATTAATTTTATTTTTGTATTTTGCAGAAAACAATGTATATTATTAAATTAATATGTCATATATTTTTATTTTTAGATTTAGAAACATTTAAAGTATATAAGAATTTTAAACTTTAAAAAATTAATTTAAACGGACTATGTGAATCTTAATCGAACCCACAAAGATTTGAACAGAAGATTAACAGAAATTTATAAATACAATCTTCAAAATAAGATAAATTTTTTAAATCTGAATAGATCTGAACCGAACCCAAATTGATACTCAAATCAATACATTAAATACATTTGAAAAATATATCCAAATATATTTGATTTATGAACATATTAAATATCAATATGGTTTTTTACTTAAAACAGAATTCAATACATTAAATATCAATATGGATGATAAATTCAGATCATTTTTAATATTGATTTAGATTTTTTATCTAGTAAATTTTAGATTTGAAAGTAACACTTGAATATATATTTTGTGCAGATCTTCACCAAATTAAAATTAAAAATAAACATGTTGGAAACTTTTTGAAAAACAAAATTCATATATAATTTACAAAATAAATAATAGAAAATAATCTTAGAAATCCTTGATAATTTGTAGTAATCAACAAAAAAAGTATGATAAAAATAAAAATCTATAAAATATGATGTTTAGAGAATCAACATAATTTTAAAATGTATCAGCTTTAATCCTTAGAATCTACCTAAATCAATTTCACAATAACTCAAAAAACAAATTTCCTTTTTGAACATTATGAAAAATAAATAATTGAAAAGATCCTTTGTGCCCCAAGCTAGAGTATAAAGTCACGCATTCTAGTCCTCTAGGGTTTTTGCCGTTCTCCACCTTTTCTCTATAACCTAGACGCTTTCTCCAGTTCTTCTCCATGGACAATAAATCCGCTATCACAGCTGAAGCAGCTCCTGTTGTGATTGAGGCCACAAGACGTCTAGAGGAAGTTAATAGAGAGCCGAAAGATGATGTAGAGAAAGATACGAATTATGAGAAAATATCTGAAGTGATGGAGATATTGCAGGGACTGGCTAATCGTCTTCAGAAGATCAAAGAAAAGATGGATTGTCGGTTTCAAAAGATCGAAGAAAAGATGGATTTGTTGATCTCATCGATTAGTTTAAATAATAAAGTTGCTGCAGCTGTTAAAACTTCCTCTGCAAAAGCCCAGGCAGAGAACATGTATATGGATGAATCATCTTCTGATGAGGAACCCTTCTCGAAAAAGGCTAGAGCAAATACCAAGATTCCTAAAGAGGAGAGCTCAGGTGATCATATTGCAGAGATATCTGATGAAAAGTATAGTGATCACAGTTTTGGTCTTTTCGGTGGTCGTGGTCAGGAGAGTGATGACCGTTTTGATATTTTTGGTGGTCCTGTTCAGGCGAGTGATGGGCGTTTTAGTCGTTTCAGTGGCCGTGGTCGTGGTCAAGAGCGTGATGAGCGTTTTGATCTTTTTTCCTTTGGCCGTGGTCGTGCAAGGTTTTTTTATGATGGTCAGGAGAACTACGACCACTTTGGGCGTTTTCCTGGTGATTACGGTCAGGACAGCTATGGTCGTTTTTTCGGTGGTCCTGGTGGTGGGCGTAGTCGTGGCCGTGGTCGTGGTCTTTTTGTTGGTGGTCCTTTTGCAGGTGGTCGTTGTGGCGGTCAAGGCCACTGTGGCATTTGTTGAGCTAATAGTGGGGGGGGAGAAGAAACATAGTTTGCTACTCAGCGACGAGCCTACGCAACGACTATCTTGGACGAGAGCGGAAATCTTTTTTTTTATTAGAATGAGATGAATCTCTTTGGTATTCTAGCTTGTCATACACTGCCACCTATAATTCGTTTTCGTTTTTTTTTTTTAATTTTAATCAAATAGTTCGGCTTTTTCATAGGTAGTTATGTTAATAGTTACGATTTTCGCGTTAAAGATATATAAACGATTTTATTTGTTAGTCTTTTAGATATCACATGTTAAAGTCAATTGTACGTATGATTGTGAAGCAAACATCACAGTACTAACCATTCCTTTAATTACACAAATCCACAAGACAATTGCAATAGTTCCTCTAAAAATATATATATCATCATAAAATATGACCTAAAAAAGATGATCCAGAGACAATAATTGTTGCGTAGAAACAAACAAACAAAGGATTTTTCAACATTTAGATCCATTATAAATGAGATACTCCTTGAAGGACGAACATAACGAGAACCAAAATCTGCCGTAACCTTCATTAGTGGGTATTGTTTACAAAAAGAAATGAAGAAATATCAAAGAATCATAGAATCAAGAATCCAGCTGGGTACACAACATGTTTTGTTGAGTTAGGTTAAACTTTTGGTGGGTGTTTTCTTGAATCTGGAAAACAAGTACCAGAAACGTCTCCAACCGGGACGGCACGGGGACAACAATGAAACGTTTCCAAAACGTTTTCGGACATGATGGGGACGACAAGGGTTTGTGGGCACGGTATAGTTAGTTTATGGGCACGTTTCCGAAACGTTTCCCATGTATAACTAGTGTCTCTTTGTTCCAGATCTATGAAGTTTGCATCATTTCTTAACACTAGGGGCGTAGTGTTAATGTGTTATCAGTAGCTTGTTGTTGTAATGTAAAGCTATAGTTTGGACAGAAATTTTATGTTTAGTATATTAGTGTTTTCCAGTAGAAAAGATACCAAAGAAAGAGCGAAGGACAAAGCAGAAGGGCTTAAGGAGAGAGTAAAGGGTAAGGCTGAGGAGCTTGGAGTGAAGACGAAGGTGACGGTGATAGGAGCTTGGGGTGGGGTACTACAAAAATTGCTGCGCGGACAGCCACTGAAGCTGTGGTTATTCCTGAAGAAGATGCAGATAAGGCACAGGCTGATATGGATAAAGGTGTGGAAGATCTAACCCAAAAAGTGGAGAAAACAGCAGAGAAGGACCGAAAGGAGGATGAGTTCCTAACATTTAAGTAATAAGACAGAGACCGTATGTGTGTTTCGTTATCTGAGAGTGTTGTATCTCTTTATGTATTGCTCTGTTTCAACTAAATCTCTTGTTGTTAAGCTACACTTCATCTTATGTATGTTAAGATGCATTAGTATATAAATCAGAAAAATATGTATCTTTCTTAACTTTTTATAGGACAGTTCATGTATCAATCTCAATCTCCACCAACATATTTATTTCCCTATACTCAGCTGTGGAGTTCGGTGTTTACATGAATTTATTTGTTTCCACCATATGTTTTTTGTTTGCTATCCAGGTTCGTTGACCGTTTCTACCTTCCGACTTCTTATTTTAGCTCTTAATGAGAGGCATTTCATCACCATCAGTACTATTTCATCATTAACAAATCAAAGTGAAAAGAGGGAAAAAAGGATTTATATGAGAATTTTAATAACCCCTTTAAACCGTACATGACACATGTTGTATTATGATTGGTTATACGTACTATTTGATACACACATAAAATAAATTAAAATATTAAAAATTTAGTTTGCAAACTTTCTTAATTTAATTTGAATAAAGGAATATCACCATTACAGTGTGGCGCAAACTTTCTGAAATAATATAGACTTTGGAGTATATGTTCGTCTCTCTCCCTTTAACACTGTTTGGGATTTGGGATTTATCATGAATATAGAAGAACATTTGTTACATCCCTGAAAGAGCGATATATAGAGATGGTTTGTCGTTTTTAAGATAGGTTACTTCATATCGTGTTTAGTTAGCCGGGCTTCAAAGATATATGCCTCAATATAGAAACTTTTGTGATGAGTCTCTCTTGCTTTCTTGATACTCATATTTTCCTACTTAGACCTTTCAACTATCACTATTTGTTTTTGTTTGTAATTTAGTCAACTTGATACACAGACTTCCAACTATAATTTAGTTCCTGACCCACATTCTTTTGGTATCTTGGCATTTGGCATGGACTGCGTAGGTTTCTCACGGCAACCCAAACATTTAACTATTAAACCATAGTAGATTCATTCCTCATTAGAGTGTATACGCCGACAACAGATGAGGAGAGAACAAAGCATGTAATATTGAAAATGTAGGAAAGTTCAAATAAAAAAACCATAATAATATAAGGAAGTGTAAAATAGTGAAAGTTTTTTCGGGCTGATTGCTTGATAGAATTCAGCGTCTCACTCCCGGGTGCGTTTACATCCTTTTTTTTTCGCTTCAGTTGTATACTTTTTTAAGCTTGAACCGTAAGAAGATGCCTCTCCAATTTTCACTTCATTAGATGGTGTTTGACCGGTCTTGAAACTCTGTAGACAGTTGAAGATGTGATTTCTGAGACTTTGGTGAGATGGAATAGTTTGGTAGAGTATGTAGTATAATACCTCGGAAACATAGCAGAGATTGATGTGTTTAATGGCGAGAATCGAGAAGAAAGAAAACCTAATTGACTTAACGTTAATACGGTAAAGGTTTGATGATTTATTCATAAATTATCACAGTTTTTTTTTAGATGGGCCATATAAGCCAATATTTGCAAGTCGTATATTTGGTGTACGGGTTTTTAAATGAGAATTCGACTAAAAAACACGAACTTTGCACGAATTGTCAATAAAAAATTTGTACTCGAGCCTGGCAAAAAAAATTTATACTTTTATTGACTTTTTTAATTTATTAGACAATTTAAGATTGACTGACCATATGAGCATACCGTGAACCCAAAATTAAGATGATGTTAAATGTTGGTGTTTGACCGGTCTTGAAACTCCGTAGACTGTTGAAGATGTGATTTCTGAGACTTTGGTGAGATGGAATAGCTTGGTAGAGTATGTAGTATAATACCTCGGAAACATAACAGAGATTGATGTGTTTAATGGCGAGAACCGAGAAGAAAGAAAACCTAATTGACTTAACGTTACTACGGTAGAGGTTTGATGATTTATTCATAAATTAACACAGTTTTTTTAGATGGGCCATATAAGCCAATATTTGCAAGCCGTATATTTGGTGTATGGGGTTTTAAATGAAAATTCGACTAAAAACACGAATTTTGCATGAATTGTCAATAATACCTCGGAAACATAGCAGAGCTTGATGTGCTTAATGGCGAGAACCGAGAAGAAAGAAAACCTAATTGACTTAACGTTAATACGGTAGAGGTTTGATGATTTATTCATAAATTATCACAGTTTTTTTTAGGTGGGCCATATAAGCCAATATTTGCAAGTCATATATTTGGTGTATGCGTTTTTAAATGAGAATTCGACTAAAAAACACGAACTTTGAATGAATTGTCAATAAAAAATTTGTACTCGAGCCTGGCAAAAAAAAACTTATACTTTTATTGACCTTTTTAATTTATTAAACAACTTAAGATTGACTGACCATATTAGCACACCGTGAACCCAAAGTTAAGATGATGTTAAATGTTGGTGTTAAATGTTTACATGGTTTGAAAATAAAAAAGCAGTAGTGATATCGCGTGCGAACGCACACCAATTAACCTAATGTGCACACTACCACAATCGAATGGTATGTCGATGTAACACTTAAGGATCGAATCCACAGAGACCAAATTCTACACTTTATTTCTATAGGATCAAATTCAAGCTAAAACTAACAAGTGTTGTGAAAATCAAATCTTGAGTAACAAGTAACTAAATGGGTTTAACAATCAGGATATAAAGATGTCAACCTAGGGTGTCTCATTGGGTGTTAACCATACTGAACCAAACAATTATTCAAGCTCTTTAAGTGCAGCCTAGAACTCAGATTTCTTAACTAGAACACCCTGCTCTCGCAGGTGTGCTCCTTTCGCAGAGGAGAAATGGTGCCTATGCTCTCGTGTGGACCAATACTCAACAGCAAACATTAAGCACAGACCTAATATGCTCACATCACACCCTGATATCTACTTTCGCTGACCAGGGATGTGATGCTTGCTCTCAATAGATCTAGCAACCTAATTCACGATTAATGATAAAAGATTAAACTTGGAATCAAATACTAAGTGATCAAATCAGTATCAGCAGTAAGAACAGTGGAGAGTAAAGGCGAGAATGATGCTTATCTATGTTCAGTTCAATGGATCAACACCCTAGAACCCCAGGCTAACAAGATTGACTACTCAGCCATAAAAACAGAGAACACAAAGTCAAGAGATGAAGAAGACATGAATATTATTGCAGATAAATATAAATAGGGTCCAGAGGATTATTCTCTAGAACAAGAGAGATGATCTTCTCCCTTTACAAGTATCAAAATCACAATATCCAAAGGTTCTAAGGTTTCTTTTCTCTCCCCAAAAGCGTACTCTGTCTAAGAAAAATAGAATAGAATATGTCTGAAGGCCACAGGCGGCTGGGAGAAGAAAATAGAAAGATAAGGGCAAATCCCGAAATTAATTAGAAGTTTCCATAATTTTCGGGAGCAAAGGGAGGTTTGCTCCGCGATAGAGGGAGCAAGCAGGGGGTTGCTCCGCAATGGGTGCTCTGCGATGGAAAACTCTAGTTTTTGCATTCTTTCTTCCATATGCTCCTTCTGGTGCATTCCAACTCGTTCTACACCTGAAATAACTCAAAACACACTAAGAACACTCCAGGAAAGCATAAATATGATATGCAAAGTATGTGTATCATGTCAAAAACACAACATATCAATTCCCCCAGACTTGGATCCTTGTTTGTCCTCAAACAATGTCAAGTTCCAGATCAGCGGGAAGGTTTGAAAGTGTGGGAACTCTCTCATTTCAGCAACCATACTATAACCACAAATCTCTGAACCATACAAGCAGACATATTAGGACGACACACCCTTACCAGAACCCCCACTGACTGCTGTTCAAATCGGCTCCATACTCTATATCTCATACCTGCAAAAGTCAAACCTTCCAGACAGAAACTCCTTATATTCATTTAAGATCAGTGGGAGCTTCTTGTCATAGGCATTATTCAGGGGAAACAAGCTAGGTATGAGACAGGCTTTTTCAGTGTTTAAAGTGGAGTTAACAAGTGTTTAGGGTTTACCATGTCTTTGTAGAGGATGCAGGATATCACACAAAATTGCCAGAGAGGATGGATCCATTGATCTCCACAACCCTCACTCGTTTTCTCTGCAGAGCAATCGTCGTGGTGCACTGACTCCTCTGCTCCGTACAGGTTTGCTCTCTTCCTTTCAGATCACCCCTTCTACACAATGTTCCATCTCCCACTTCAGTTCTTTGCTTCTCTGAACTACCAAGGGCAATGTTTCGGCTCTTCTCCTTCTCATCATTTCTTAGAACTCTTGGAACATAAATAATACTGATTTTTTTTTTTTGACTGACTTAATAATGAAAGGACGAGTTCTGATGATGATGATGACGAGAAGGAGGTAATTACATATATTGTGCCCCTGGTGGTTCTGACTTAAGCACTTCTTTCACCATTTGATCTTTTATGCTCTGATCACCCTACTGACTGCTCTCTTCTTTTCAGATCACCCCTACTGACTGCTCTCTTCTTGTCGGATCATGTACATCTTTGCTCTGAAGCGTAGTCTGTGAGAAAAACGAGTGAGCGCAGTGTTGATCCTTTCCTCTCCAGCCCTTTTGCACATATCTGCACTTATGAAACTTAAAAACAGAATGCATGAGGGTGAAACAAAGTTTTTAAGGTTCATGGTGGGAACTAGCTAAAGATGAGCTAGCCACTCAGGATCAACAAGATGGATAGAAAGAATTAAGATGTCCTGAGTGTAATCTCGTTTCCCTAATCTAACGCCCATAACAAGAAGAATTAAGTCAATATTAGGTTCAAGTTAGGTGGAGTTTAAGTCTTTCCAGAATAACCTCTACAAGCAGAAATC